ATAGAACTGCCCGGTAAATCGTAGGCAGAGAGGGAGAAGAGGACAACAAACGAGGGGCTGTGACAAACTGTTTCGTCGGAGTTTCACCGACTCATCAGGAGGCTGAACCCTCAACGGTCTGTAGAATCCCCTCACTGATATATATATATATATATATCGTCACAAATAATATATATATATCGTCACCAATAATATATATATATTGTCACAAACAGAACTGCCCGGTAAATCGTAGGCAGAGAGAGAGAAGAGGACAACAAACGAGGGGCTGTGACGTATATATATATACCGGGCAGTTCTATTTGTGACGATATATATATATATTTCAGAAATTTGTGTATTCATATACACACATTTTTATGATGAAACAGTTTGTCGCAGCCCCTCGTCTGTTGTTCTGTTCTCCCTCTCAGCCTGCGGTTTACCGGGCAACAAACGATACACTGATGTGCTGGGGCCCATTTCAGATAGCTGCAGGTCGTAACCTGTCCTTTCATTCTGTTCATTGTCCAAAGCAGGGAGGGGAGTAAGCAAGGAACACTTCAAACAAGGCGTAGTATATGGATCGTCGTCGCGCTCGTKCTGTCCGGGGGGGTGGAGGGCGTGTCCGTGGGGATGAGGCACGGGCTGAGGGTGGCGGAAACCAACGCAGACATGGCCTTCTTCGTCTCACAGCTGCGGACGTCCGAGAGCAATGGCCGGAGCCTGCTGCGCTCATCGATCAACTGGTCAACGATCCGGACTGGTTATTTGTGGCCGAGAGGGATGCAGTCATGATGTTGGTGGTGGGGAATGACGGGCGGCCGAATGCGTGGAACCGGTGGAGGGCTTACACGCGCATGGCTCGGATCATGGGCTACGCCCAACGGAATCCATTACCTGATCTGTTTCAGGACGCAGTTCGTCTCCGTTGGCCGAATCCGCCTGATGAGCCTTATACAGGTTTCAAAGGAGATGGAGGAGAGTACGATGATGGAGGTGATGGCGAAGGACGTGAGGGGGGCGGTCAAATGATTTGATGTCCTTCCATGGTGATTGATGTGCCGCACGACTTCCTCGCGTAGTGGCTGTTGTTGCATGCCCTGTGCCCAAACATTGTCCTCTTTTCCCATTTTTTGGCCGTTACGCATGTGCGATCATTGCCTGTGTGCGTGTGGGGGCAACAATTTGCAAGTGTGTGTACTTGATTGAAGTACATTGGTCACTCGACACTGCCTGACTGCGCACAGTTTTGCGATCTCTCTCTCTCTCTCTCTCTCTGACACACACACACACAGTTGAAGTGTATGTCATCTGAGACCAGTCAATTCATTTATGAAAAAAAATAAAAAAAATAAAAAAAAATTGCAGTGTTACTTGCAGCATATCTATGGTATACTGATGCTGTTGGAGGAGCACAGCACCGAATGCGCAGACCAAAAAGGCATCCAGCGATTCCTGACCGTTTTGACAGGCTTTTGCTGACTCATCAGAACGCCCAGCCCCATCGGTCTGTGTGTGGGAGGAGGTTGAGGTTGAGCCCCGACAATCTGCATGTGAGAACAGGTTGATCCCTGACAATAACCTGCAAGTGTCTTGGTACTATGTAGCTGAACACCAAAATGGTCATAATGAAATACGCCGGGCCGGTTCGTGCATCAATGTAGAAAAAAAAAAAAAAAAACGGCGGTGCTGGTGCATGGAAATAAAAAAA